ATGTGCTCTCTGTGAAAGCCTGAGAGAATGTTTTCTCTCCATGTGACTCTCCTTAGGCACACTCTACATCATCGATCACTTTCCTCTTTGGCCCCATAATATCCTTCATCAGAAAATTTGGGACACTGCCGAGTTACATGACATTACAGTACAAATTCTATGTCCTGAGTCTTAATTGACCTTGGAAGGCTAGGGCCAAAATGTTGGCTTTCCTTCCTGCCCTCCTTTTTCTCAAATTTTGGTCTGCAAACTTAGGTTGTTAACCCTCCAGATAAAGCTAATTTTAAGAGTAGTATTTTTCAAGCCTTCTGGAAGTATATCATTGATCTAAGTTACTGGCCATTTCATCTGTTCATAAAGATAAGACCATATATGAACAAGCTTTAGAACTACTTTTCCACAGTTCTAAAGTAGAATGATGGATAATACTTTGTTTTAAACCTGTTTTAAGGATTGAATTAAATTTTATTGGTGTATACCATACATGCAAATGTAGATGCTTTGACAGTCTTAGCCCTGTTGATGTAGATGAGGTTAAGGCATGTCTAAAAGGTAACTATTTGCTTCAATTATACATCACATAAACCACAGGTATTTAATGGGTGACTGTGGGTTTTAATTACCAATGTAATTATTGAAATACAAGATGACCAGAAATTTGAATTTTAAATTAATTTTTATAATATAACAAAATATTAAAACAACAATTTTGTCAAATGTATTTCATTCAAGAATTGACTGGTTGGCATGACACCTGCCCAAGTGACAAAGTATTAAGTGGTTACTTGTAGAAAGTAGACTGTAATTAAGCAATTAAAATTAATTATGTCAATATCCTTAAACCCTTTTAGGCTGCTACCATTGTGCTGAGGTTCCTGGTTGCTGTTACTTGTGCTTTAATAATTTTTTTTGCTGTGAAAACTTGAAGAAGGATGGACCAGTATAAGTCCAGCATTTTGTGGGACAAGGAATGCATTTATGACGAGCTGCCACCTGGTGTCAAAAAATGTGTAAGTGTTAAATGAAATCTGAAAGGTACAATAAATACTGTGAAAGGGAAAGAATTTTTCAATGAGAAGGGAAAACTATGAAGAGGAAAAGGACAAAAGAAAGAAAAGCTAAATTTATGTATATATATAGGATAATTTGGGTAATTATACTGCCAATTTCTGCTGATCTTTTGAAAGTTAATGGTTAAATTTTTTTCTTTTTAATTTCTTGTAACTTTTTTTTTTAACTCACTTTGCAGGTTTGTATCTTGCAACCCAAACAACTAATTTGAAGATAACATTATGCAATGCAGCAATCATTGCTGAATTCCTATTACTTTGTTTTATAAAACTTTGTAATGTTTCAAAATGCTCTCTTGCTCCCATTTTCCCTTCCTTCTTTTTTTTTTTTTTTTTTTTACTATTTTGTAGTCTTTAAAAAATAAAGGGCTAAGGAGATAGCTCAGCGATCTAAGCACCTGCCTGGCAAGCATAAGGAATAAGGATTTGGGTTTGATCCCCAGTACTGCATGCTATCCTGGTGACTGAAACCTGGTGTAGTGGCACATACCTGTAATCCCAGTGCTGGGGAGGCTCAGGAGGATCACTATGAATCCAAGCTATGTAGCGAGACCCTGTACCAAATAAATATTAAAAAAAAATTTTTTTTTAATGGTTAAGTGTTAAACAAGTCACTTCAACTCTTTTAGGAAATCCCTAGTTTTCTCTCAATTGTTGGTGCCTTGTTAAATCTGCTTATAATTGTTGACTATACACTGCAAAAGTTGTTTTAGTTTTTACTCTGAATTTTAAGAGGGTGAGGAGGGCAAAAAATCAAGTTTTCTTTTTCTTAAGGAGTGGATCTGGGCTCTGAAAACAAAGGCTTCCAAAGAAATTATGCAGAAAGAGGTTGGCATTTACAAAATAAAACAACTCCTTTCTTTGATTTTTTTTTTTTCTTTCTTTTATTTTCTTTCTTTTTTGTTTGGCTTAGCATCATGGAGGAAGGAAACACTGTTGTTCAGAGTGCTGTGTTGTGTCAGGAATGATAGTTTGGGGAATGAAACACTGTTGTTCAGAGTGCTGTGTTGTGTCAGGAATGATAGTTTGGGGAATGATAATAGATGATACATGGCAAACCACAATGACCAGTTCTGCAATGACAGTTGCCTATGAAATAATACACTGAAGTGAAAAGAGTGACTAGAGAAGTTTTTGGTTTTGGCTTTGGTATATATTGGTAACCTCACCAGACTCCTTCTATATTGTGATTTGCTAGAAGCCCAGGAATCTCCTCCAGAAAAACCTCCCAAATGAATGTTGGTAAATTATCATTAGAAGTGTTTGGAGTGAAATTTTGTTTTTGTAAGGATACTGTTAGAAGCAACCTCACAAACTGCCTCATAGGTTTCTTTGACCAGATTCATTTCTTGCCATGAAGGTCAGCTGATACTGGCCACTGGTTCCACAATAGTCTTGTTCTGGCCAGTGGGGGTGGAAAGCTGATCATTAGGTAAAGGGTAAAGACATTATCATGAAGGCTCCTTTAACTCTGTAGAGCATCCTAAATGCCTGATTTTTTAGGAAATCTAGGAAGATATATGATATTATATGTGAAGCAAAAATCAGCTATTTTAGGAAAGCAAGGAAGGATCAAGCATGGCAGAACATGCCTGTTATCCCAGTCACTCAAGAGGGAAAGGGAAGAGATCACAAGGTGAAAGCCAGCATGAGCAAGACTGTGTTTCAAAATAAAATAATAAAAAAGAGGATTGAGATTTACCTGTGATAGCATAAGACACTGGGTTCGATCTCTAGTACCACCACCACCGCCAAGAAGGGCATGGTTTCTGCCACCAAAATCATGGTTAGAGTGTTCTGCCTTCTGCTTAAAGCCCTCCTCCTTTGTTCCCTTGTGAAGAGTGATGACATGAGACAGTGTTAATTGTATTATCTGGTGTCCTACCAAGTCTGGTTTCTCTCTTTCTTTACCTTTATCTTTCTGATTGATGGAGTCTTACTGTAGAAGAAAAAGCTGACTTTAGTAAGACTTATTATTAATTGTTTTAATAAGACTTATTGAAATCCTATTTTATTCTTTTTGCTATGATCCCTTATCCCCACATTCCTTTGCATAGACATAGTAGGTTCTCATATGGACATTTCTTAGTTAATATCAAGAACAGAAGTTTTTAATTGCTTTTACTTCACCTCTGTAATAAACAATAAGGGGTGTTATGTAACTCAACTGCTGCTGAGTAGAATAAGCAAGTAAAATCAGTCAGTCTCTACAAACCACTCCTATTCTTATTTAATAATGAAATCCTGAGAACATTTTGGAACAAACCAATTCTGAAAGTGATGCAGCCATGATAATAGAAACCATCATAGTGATGGTAAATAGGCAGATAGGATCTTTTGATGACTACTTATTAAAAGCATGACTTGTATTTTACCATCAGACATGTTAAAGCTGAATTTTGCAATAAGCCATAACTCTTAAGTCTTTAACCAGTGTTAGCAAAATACTGCCTCTCAGGACCCTTCTAATATTAGAAGTATCCTTCACACTCAGGGCTATATAGCATTCATTACTGTTATGTGGGTACAGAGAAGGCCACTTATATGTAACGATGGGATGGTCTATGGTGATGGAGGTGATGATAATGATGAAGATGAAGGGGCTGATTTTTTTTTGGGGGGGGTACTGCTGGAGATTGATTCCAGGGCTTGATTCATGAGGAGGTAGATATGTCTAATTTGATTCAAACATTGTACAACATACACTTACATGAAGCCATTCTTTATACTCCATAAGTAGGTATTTTTTTAAGTATAAGGTTAAAAGTTAATTCTTTAAAAAGGCAAGAGCTTTATTAAACATCTACTCTGAACCCCTGTAAATTTGCTTATGCATGGATTGTTTCAAACAATCTTCATTGCCCTGTCTAATAACAAACATTATGCATCATTTAGCCTAGTTATGCTGTAGAAAATCATTTCTTTAATTTGCTGTTTTCTACAAGTATAACTAGGCTAAAGGATGCATGCATCTATAACTGATAGATAATGAGGAATTACCTTTCAAAGGGACTAAATTAACTTATATATCTGTATGGGTATATGATATTATTTTGATTCTTATGAGTTTTGATGGTTAAAGTTCAGTGTTTATGAGGCATAATTCTGAGGTAGTACTGTGTATTTTTAGAAATGAGTTAGCATATAGACAATAACAAGCCATAGTACCTTCATTTGTCCAGTTAGGAATAGAAGTGTTCCTTCCCTATTCTGTTGTCTTCATTACATAGAGATGCTTTTGGTACTTGAACTAATCCTTCCTTTATGACAAGAGTAAAAACTAAGCTGGGTACAGCAAGGCACTTGTAGTTGAGAATGGTAGGGAGGCTAAAGACAGAGGATCAGTTGAGCTTAGTATTTCAAGGCCAGCCTCAAAAACATAGTGAGGCATTGTCTCAGAAGAAAAGAAAAGGGCAACTGAGCATAATAGCACGTGGCTGTAATCCCAGCACTCGGGAAGCTAAGGCAGAAGGATCATTGTGAGTTTTAGGCCAACCTTGGCTACAGAGGCTTACCTGAGAACTACATAATGAGATCTTTTCCAAAACCAAAAGCACAGAAAGCCTTAAAGTTCTTCATACTATGAACTTCCTCTATTGCTATGGGTTACTTTATTACACTCAGGTTAGAAATGCTGGCCTGCTGACCTTGTTTACTAGTACAGGCAAATATCTGCTTCATTGTAGGTTTTAGTTCTCAGATAGACTAATAGGACTGTTTGTGTTTACTCATCATGTATTGCTTTGGATGTTTCACATAGAACTACAGGATTTAATGTTTGCCTTGCTGTATTTTGGACTTGCTTTGGTCCTGAAGTTTTGTATCCCCTTGTTTGTACCTTTTGGGATGGTAGTGTTTATCTTGTGCCATTGAATGTTGAAAGTGTTTAACTTTTTATTTGTACAGAGGCTTACAGCTAAAAGTTTACCGTAGGTCTTGGAGGAGACTTAGAACTTGGACTTTTCAGCAATGCTGAAACTATTGGGACCTTGGCAACTCTTAGAGATGGACTAAAATTCCTTTTGCACAAAGAGATGTGCATGGGTCTTTGGTGATCCAGCGGTGGAATGTTAGTAGTTTTGTCTGGTTGTCCCCGCAAAGCTTTATGCAGTTATGGGGCAGATACCCTGAATGCAATATAAGGGAGACAGACTTGCTCTCTGTAGCTGTTATTGTGTTATTCCACCATTTGCTCTTTCTGTTTTCCACTGCCATGAATACTACTTTCTGCCATATACTGCTCTGCTTTGGAGGCATGTGAGTATGGACTGAAACCTCCACTAGGTGAGCTAAAGGTTTATTTAGGTGAGCTAAATAAATCTTTCCTTCCTTAATTTTGGGTGTTGGGTATTTTGTCCCAGCAATGAGAGAAGAGTAACCAAGACAAGTAGGAAGAATTTATTGAGAGAAAAATTTGCTGAGAGGAAAAGGATGGAGGGGACCCAGTAAGTGAGTTGCCCACCCACCCTACTTCTCAAGGGTGTTTAACTGAACAAAGTTGTAAGGTGAGGTAGGCTTAAGGTAGGACAGAACTATAACCAATAAATGAAATCACAAGTATAGTTGCTTAGCCAATATTGATCCAAGAGTAAATCATAAGATGAGGTGAGGTGGGACAAAACTATGTTAAACCAATGAGTATACAAGTATAGTTGCTTGAGTAATAGTGATTAAATGGAGATCCAATGCCAAAATGAGTCATGTATTAAGCACACATGTTATGGACAAGGACTTTCCTGGAAGGGGTGGGTTAAGGAGGTTTAGTCCCCTTCTCCAAGGTGATTAGTGCCTATTAAGGATGTCAATCACTGCCTTTCATCCATAGGGAAGTATATAAGTGAATAGTACTTTTTTTCTTAAAGCCTGGTCTTCAGTGAATATGCCTCCAGCTACAGTTGTCTTGAACATTGACCACTCTTGAGGGCCCAGCCCTGTTTGACTTCTTAAAATATTTCTACCTAACTTAGCTCTTTATACTATTCCCTCCTCTGAAGAAGTACCTTGACTTCCATGAGAGGGATGGGTCCAAGAACAATCTGGCTGCTTCCAGCTGAAGAGGATCATAGTTGTGATCAGTATTCAGAGGTATTCTGCAGAAGGTCTATCTAAAGGTCCTCAATAGATGCCAGATGTTCTTGTCTTGGGTAGATGTACAGCTTTAAGTCTAGAGGAAACAAGGCCACATTAACAGTTAGATAGGTGTAGGCCAAATAATAAAATCAACAGGATACTTATGAATATAGCCAACATGGCTTTCTACCAGGAGGAGCCACTAATAGCTTTCCATAAAGAGGATAAAGAGAAGTTCCAGGAAATTTCAGAATCAAACATGTCAACCTGTCACCTAATATCTTGAACAGCTGTTGAGATATTAGCAGAAGGATCAGGAATGTACATACAACATTCAGCTTTTATAGTTGCATGAGTACCCTCTGGGTTGCTGTTAGACTAATGCCCTCCAATTTTGCTCAGTGGCTTGCCTCATTAGTTTTACTTATTCAGGAGAGAGACATCTGTTAAAGTGTCATTTAAGGCCCACTGAGTATAGTTACTTAAGGCCTTGACACAGGATATCCTCTAACCCTAGAGAAGAGATAAAGATGGAAGCCAAATGATTGTACCAGTGAAACACACTTCTAAACCATCAATGCTATAGGTAGGACAACTTTGTAGGATTGTCAATACTTCTGATACTTTTGCCTTGTAACCATATAAATCCCAACATGCATATTTCTATCCATCCAGGGGGTTGTCAGCACCACAAATTGGTTCCACAGGACCAGTGAGGCCCACTGGGGGCTTCTCATCTAATTCCAGGGTGATTAAAC